ATAGACTGTGTCATTTATAAAGAATAAAGGTTTATTCGGGGACAAGCAGTTAGCATAATGCTGGACTCCCACGTAGTCGACCGCGGTTCGAGTCCCGGACCCGGTGGCTTGAACTCACGCCGGGCGTGTGCATGCGTGCCCAAGATCCTGAGAGGTGAATGGAGGAGAAGGGATTGCAGCGTGGCCATCCCTTCTGGGGGTTGATTTCTTGCTTTCTGTGTCTCTGTCTCTCTCTGTTTGTCTGGTGAGTGCACGCACCCTATAGCAAAAACCTCTCCAAAAAAAAAAAAAAGAATAGAAGTTTATTCATCTTATGGTTCTAGAAGTCCAAGGATGAAATGCTGTATCTAATGAGGACCACCTTGCTTTGGGGACTTTCTACAGAGTCCCGAGGTGGTCCAGGGCATCAGATAACAAGAAGACAAGCATGTAAGTCAGCTCTAGTGTCCCCCTCTCTTATAAAGACAGAGTATTCAATCATGGGGACCCACCCTGATGATCTTATGTAATCCTAATTATTCATGAAGGCCCTTGAAGGCCCTGCCTCCTAATACCATAGTTGGGTTAAGTTTCTACCCTCTTAATACTGTCACAATAACTACCAAATCTCAATACATGAATTTATGGGACAAATTCAAACTACAGCAATTTTCTTCTGGACTTATTTTTTTAAAGAATTATTTATTTACTTTCATTTATTCATTCATTTATTTTCATTTGACCAGAGAAAGACAGACACACAGAGAGAAGGAAAATGAGAAAGTAAGCCACCAGGTCCGGGACTTGAACCATGGTTGGCCATGTAGGAGTGTTCAATGCCTTAACTACCACACCACCTGCTGGCCCTCTTCTAGACTTTTATAGTTTTAATTCTTATATTTAGATCTTTGATCCATTTTGAGTTAATTTTTGCATATGATATAAAGTAAGAATCCAACTTTTTTTTTCTTTTTTCTTTTTTTTTGGCATGTGAATCTCCAGTTTTCCCAGAAACATTTCTTGAAAAATCTTTCCTTGGGACCAGCAGATGTCATAATGGTTATTTTGCTGGATTCCCATGTAGCCAACTGCAGTTCGAGTCCCAGACCCAGGGGCTTAAAACTCATGCTGGGCACATGGGCATGCATGCCCTAATCCTAAGAGGTGACTGAAGGAGAAAGGATTGCAGTATGGCTATCCCTCCTAGTGGGTGATTTCTCTTTCTCTGTCCTCTGGTGAGCACATTTACCCTATAGCAAAAATCTCTCCAAAAAATTTTTTAATAAAAGAAAGAAAAGAAAAGAAAGAAAGAAAGAAGAAGAAGAAAGAAAACCAAAGAAGGAAAGAATAAGAAAAAGAAAGAAAAGTCTTCTCTTTTCTCATTGAATGGTTTTGGTACCTTTATGGAAAAATCAATTACCCATATATACAATAGGTTATTTTAAAAAATATAATAGGAAGTTGTAATATTAATAATCAAGGGATTGATTATTATTATTATTAATTATATTAATTATTAATTATATTATTATTATTATTATTATTAAGAAGGGATTGCAGCATGACCATCTCCCGGGGGGGGGGGTTGATTTCTTGCTTTCTGTCTCTCTGTCACTCTCTGCCTTTCTGGCGAGCACATACATCCTATAGCAAAAACCTCTCCAAAAAAAGAAAAAATAATAATTAAGGTTATTAGGTAGCTCTGAGTCTCTCTCTATGTTGACTTTCTCAAGTCCCTTTAGAAATGATAGACTTTAAAAATAAAGGGGAATTCTAAATTCAAAAAATTCCTTACTGAGCTGGTCATATAGACAAGTGGTTAAGGAAGCAAGATCCCAAATGGTCACTTGTGGTTCTAATCCCTGCCCTGGTTGCTTGAAAAACACTCTGGGCATGTGTGCATGCTTGTCCAAAATCCCAACAGGATGGAGATATGGAGGAGAAGGGATTGTGGGGTGAACACACCCTTTTGGGGGATGCTTTCTCCCTCTCTGTCTCTGGCAAGTAAATGCACCCTTTAGCAAGTGAAGAAAGAAAAAAAAAGAAAAAGTTCCTTATTCAGAACATAGCTTAAAGGAATGAACATTTTTACATAGGAAAAACAAATTCAAATAGGAGAAGAACTCAAGGACATCCCCAATAGAGAGGAAGAAGAAATACAGACTTCAGAAAAAAGAGCAAAAAGATGAAAATGAAAAGTCCAAAAGTATTATCTGCCTCTAAGCATTGAGAATGATGAAATGGGAAACATGAGTGTTGAGCTCAGAGGTGAGGTTTTGGGTAGTAATGTATACTTGGGCTTTTTCAATTTTTTTTTTTAATCAAAAGAAGTGGAATAGATACTGCATAGCCCAAAATTAATAAGCAAACAGTATAGAGAAACTGGAACATGTTTGTATGATGTTGGCATCGTCTGGTGGTGAATGAGAAATGGATGATACAGAAGAGGGATGATACTTGAGAGAGCCAGGTTTTGAGAAGGAGAGGACAGGATCAAGAGGTCTTGATAGGAGAGATCTTTGGACGGTAACCAACAGAGCAGAAGGAGAAAATGGTAGATGCTAATGGCCAGGAAGGTACAGGTTTTTTTATTTTTATTTTTATTTTTTTTTTGTAGATGCAAATATTTTTCTTTTATCTGCTGTACTTTGTGAGATCAAATTACCAAAACTATGGATAGAGTTTTATAGGTTGCAATGTTGGCATTCTCCAGAGAAACAAAACCAACAGGATAAATATTAGGTTACTGGGACAGTCATGACATGTTTTTCCGTTTTTCTATACAAAAATATGTCAGGACTTTCTCAACAATCCAATAGACATGTAAACGAAGGGATTTATTATAGAAATCATCTTATAGATCATGAAGCGAAGAATTCCCACAATACACTGTCTGCACGTTGGATAAACATCTGAAAGACACATAAGCAAGGAAACTGTGCAGTTCCATTCAAGGGCTAAAGGAGGCCCCTGAAGGTTGCAGGCCTGAGCATCCTTGGGCTGTCACTGGTATGAGTCCAGTGTCCACAGGTGAAAGCATTTGGAGTCTGTCTCACTGGAGCAACACCGGGGCCAAGTACTGGCAGGGACACATGCAGCCAAGGGCCACAGACCAGGGGTAAAGCAGGGGTGGAGCTGGCAGTTGTGTATCAGTGAAACACACAGCATGCCTCAATATTTCTTTTGTCCACTGTCTCTTTCTTGTCCCAGCTTCCTTTCCTTCCATTGTCCAATGACTGGCTATTTATTTCCCCATGCTTAGAGGCTGCACATGCCCAAGTGCCAAGTGAGTTTCTAGGAGACGTCCACATAGTGGAGCAGGGGAGCCCTGGGCTGTGGCAGGAACAGTCGTGGTCCTCAGTGGCCTGCTCCACAGAAGACACGAGAATCTTCTGCCACTGAGGCAGACCTTCCTGAGGGGAGCCCCATTAGGGAACTGCCCAGAGAGGTACGGGTTTGATGGTAAGTTCCTATCTGGTGGCTGCTGTTTTCTCAACGTAGTGAGAGAACAAAATGTGCCAGTTATCAGTTTCATTGTATTTTATCTCCAAACCCACCCTTTCATTACCTGCTCTGAAACAATGGAACCCGACCACATCATTTCTCCTTTGCCAAGAACCCGATGTTAAGGTTTGTCAGCAGAGGGTGCTGGAGGGAAACTGCAGGAGAAAGAGGCTTCTGTTTGGGGTTCCACATTGTTCGTCCTGACAAGTTCCTGCAGAGCACTGTGGCCAGCAACACCTCTTACCTGTGAGTAGCTTCCTCCAACCAACCCAGAGGGTGGCTTCTCAGCAAGTTCCGATGATGTGGGGCCACAGCAAACTGCTCTACCATTCTGTGAGCCACAAGATCTGGAATTTCTTCCTCCAGATGTCATCCTTGCTAGGCTCTACCTCAGTGTAGAGGTGGCTGCTCTGTTTAGCTGTATACTTTGGAATTTTGTTTTTCTCTTGACAGGTAATCCCTTGTTATACTTAATAATTCTTTATATTAGACTTCCTTATACTGTTTGGTTTCTGTCTCTTATTGGTCTCCAGCAGATAGTTAAAAGAACAAGAGTAATAAAAGATAAAACAGAAAAATCAATAGAAAATCATAACATGTTCAGAAATAAGATAGGCAACTGCTTTATGAATGCTTTTTTCTAAGAATTATTTAACTTTATTTCTTTTACTTTGACCAGAGAAGCACAGAATGAGAGAGAGAGAGAGAAAGAGGGAAAATGAGAAAGCAAGCCACCAGGTCTGGGACTCAGAACTGCAGTCAGCCCTGTGGGAGTACAACACCCTTAACCACCAGGCCATCTGCCAGTCCCCATTTACATTCTTTAAAAAGTTATTATTATCACCAATAAAAATAGTAAGGGTAGCTAGAAAATATATTAGCTTCTCCTTTTTCTGGCTAACTGGTTTGTGTGTGTGTGTGTGTGTGTGTGTTCAGACTGTGTGAAGGAGAGAGGTGCTGATTCCACAATTCTTACTCTAAATTGGGTTGTTCAATACCACCATTTTTTTGTTTGTTGGATTTTGTTTGTTAGAGGGCGTGTGTACTTGCTAGAAAGAGACTGGGAGAGGAGGTAGCCCTCCTTATGGAGAATGGTCACGTTGCAATCTCTCCTCCTCCTTTCTCCCTCCTTTCTGGGCACGCACAAACATGTGCCAGATTGGGAACTGGAACCTCACGTCAGCCACGTGCGTACGGGCCCCCACAAGTTTTTAAACACTGAAATATTAAACAACGTAACCGTACTAGGAAGAGACCCGTTTTTTTTAGAGTCTTTTCTGCTTGTTTGTATCCTTTGTAAAGTCACCTGCACTTTAATGAAATAGACCTAAAGCCACTCAGGGCTTCCACGAGCCTCCGCGGCACGCCTACTGCCTGCTCAACACTGCAGAGAGAGAGGCGGGGGAGAAGGGGCCGGCCCAGGCCGCTCCAGCCCGCCCGGGTGCTCCGCCCACGGCGGGGCGGGGCCAGGCGCCGGAAAAGGCGGGGTTGTCGCTGGAATGCCCAAGACCCATCGGCCGCTGTGCTTCCTTTCCGCCCGGACGCCGACTGAGGAGGATGTACGTGTCCTTGTCAGCCATGCCGGCCGGTCGGCGGCGGAGTGTGTGGGCTCCTGACCAGGCCCCGAGATGTGAGACTTCTGTCTTAGTTCCTACTCTCCGTGCCGGGTTCCAGAGTTCTGTGGGTTCCGAGCGCGGCGCCTCCATACCAGCGGCCTTTCCTTGCACCCGCGCGGCGGAGCGGCCGGGACAACGGGAACTTCCCCCGCACCCACGATGTGAGTAACTACTTGCGAGTCTCAGCTGGCTGTACTCCAAAATACCTGTTTTGACTGTCTTTGGGTCAGAAATTATAAAGGTGTCTGTGTGTGACTTTTAAAGGGAACCCGAGGCACCTGGGAAGAACGGCCGTTGGCTCCGTGCGCTTCTCGGGTCCCATCTGTCCCCAGCAGGGCTGCGTGTGCGGCCTTGGCGTTTTCAGAGCCTTCCTCCCCTCCACAGTGGGCGGCTAGTTCTGCCTTAGTAAGGTTGCGTTTCATAAAGAGGAAAGCGTCTCTTCGGAGTCGACTCTTCACCATACTTGAATTCTTTTGGAATTGTAATAAGCACGGCTTGAATACTGACTGTGAGTGAGGCAGTACTGGTCCCCACGCGTTAATCGAGCTCTTGTTGGCATTTGTTGCTGGATCTTTTGTAAATACGCTCTAAAGACGAGCCATTCGAGTTGCTTAACAATATGCAAGTGGTGAAGGCCGTAAATATTTGCTGTACATTAGGTGCTTACATTCACACGGTTATATATTTCTGGACACAATACCGAAGAAAATAGTAATAAATCTGAAACAGTTAATGGTCAACAGGACCACTGTGAGGGCTTAAAAAAGTAGTGCACAAAAGTTCTAAAGTGTATTAAATAACAAAGAGCTCACTAATTAGGAACTGATATTACCAGTACCATTGTATCTGTTTCCCTGCTTCCTATCTGAATTACTCACCATCTGGAATTGTGTATCTATCAGTCTTTTTGGATTTTTTGTTTGTTTGGGATGGGGGAAGAGTAGAGTGGATAGCAGTTTTGTTACAGGTATGTATCTTTAAACATTTTCTTAAGTTTATAAAGTGTAACTGTACATGCAGTTGTATAGTTCACCGTTAAACTGCAGTTTTCAAAATTGGAATTGGATCATAATGGTGTGTGTTCCTGATACCAATTATGTGGAATACTTAAACGTTTCAAAACATGAAAATGATAAATTGTTTTGCAAGGTCCAACTTGATGTCTTCATAAATCATTTACAATAGCTTTGGTTCAGTGATGTATTCTCTTGGGCGATACTGTAGGACATGATCTGTATCCCTGGCCATGCTTTATGTCAACCTGACTTAATTCTCCAAGATTTGACCCAGTAATGATGCATCATAAAGCAATCTTGCCCTAAAGATTTGCCACTGTGGGGCCAGCAGGTGGCATGGTGGTTAAGGATGCTGGATTCTCACATGGCCAACCACAGTTCAAGTCTCAGACCTGGTGACTTGCTTTCTCTCTCCTCCTCTCTCTCTCTCACTTTGTCCCTATTTGGTCAAATTAAAATAAAGTTAAATAAAATATTTTAAAAGATTTACCAATGTGTTTTTAGACGAAGGTCTGCACACTTGTTTTTATACACTAACCTTTTACCTGGCTCACAGCTCATCCTTGTCAAGTTGTGAGACAGAAAAGCAATGGCTGACTACTTATTAGGACCATTGTATCTTAAAATCAGTACTGCCAGAGTGAAAGGTATCAGTGTTCCACTATTTTTCCTGCCTGTGATAATGACTTCCATTTCCACTTTGAAAATCTCATGTGGAATTATTACCACCTACGCATTTGAAGGGACTAACACATACTCAAATCATTACAGGTATTTTACATTTGGGACTTGTCAGTTTTTGGCTGCCAAAAAAGAATTGAGTAGGAAATAAATATTCCTTTCTCCTATTAGAATTTCTAGGTACAACAGAGCCTGAACTTTGAAGATGGCATGAAGGTTGTCATGACATATTTTCCAAAAAATTGTCAAAAGAAGACTGGTGAAAAATACCAGGATCACTATTGCATGTAACAAGGTACCAAAAGTTGTTTATCTTTCTGGTATTATTAGAGTAGAACTGACCCAAAATGTTTGATATGTTCTTGACATAGGTTTAATAACTGGCACAATGATGACTTAAATTTCTTTTTGCCGTTTACCCAACTGAGGGTTTCCTTGAAGAAATAACTTAAGACTGAGATGCCAGTAGTCTATATTGATAATATGAGATATATAATACAGTTTTTTTTTTTTTATTAAAGTGAGTGAAATATTCTTTTTCATATGTAGGTAGCTGCACATGAATGTTCAGGTCCTTCAGCTGGGGTGTTTAAAAGCACTTCCTTGTCTCAAGTAAGTAACTGATTTGTCCAGTAACCTCATCTTTTGGTAGTTCTGAAGTATCTGATAAAGACTAAAAGATTAGAGCCAATTCATTTTGAAGTTAGTTGCCTTTGTATTTCATGGGGTATAGTTTCTTAACATTAATTTTTTGATGATTATTGAGGTTATATGAGAACTTAATTTTTGTGTTTTAGTAAAAAGATTTTCACTGTTCTCTCTTTTTCTGAGGTGTGGCATGCAACATTTTGAAGGAAAGATGAAGAATTGATCAAGAAAACAGAAGCAAAGAAAAGTTTTCATATCTATAACCTTATAATAAACTGTAGAAAAATAACATGTTCAGTTACTTATTTAAACCTTAAAATAAACTGTAGAAAAATAATCATTAGTCAGACTTGTTTTAACATATTTTCAGGATTAGTTTTTATATTAGTAACTAGATCATTTGTGGGTGGTGAATTTCATTGAGGCAAGCCGCTGGGAAGACACTTCTGATACCTCCAATTTCCTTTTCCAGCCTTTAGAGATTTCTGGAAAGGATCTAATTACTGCATAGTAGTAGATATGAATGAGCATTTCCCCACTGGGGCATGATTGCTCAGCAGTCCCTTTTCTCCATCCTCCTGGATCACACTTAAAACATGTTTGTGCTCCAGGTGTAGGCTTTGAACCACAAGTTGGCCTTGCAGGATTTGACTCCTTTAACCAGCCCAAACTTTTCTCCTAATGTTCATTATTTGTCCTCTGTTTCCATCAACAGACTCTTCTGGTGGTAGAATGGAGTCTACTGTATGGGTCCTAGTTGGGTTTTTTGGAGTTTTATTTGCCTTAGGGTTTGTGTGCTGTGTTAATGTGAGGAGGAGGGAAAGTCAGAAATCACCCTTCAGAGGGGATGACCACATAGCAATCCTTTTTCCATTCTCTCAGTATCTTGGGAACAGGGCTCAGGGTTTTTCTTTTTTTTTTTGGAGAGGTTTTTGCTATAGGGCCCGTGCGCTCGCCAGAGAGACAGAAAGCGAGAAATCACCCCCCCCCCCAAGGGGGGATGGCCATGCCACAATTCCTTCTCCATTCTCCTCTTGGGATCTTGGGCACGCACGCACTGGCGCCTGGCGTGAGTTTAAGCCACTGGGTCCGGGACTCCAATCGCGGTCGACTACATGGGAGTCCAGCAACATAGCCATTATGCTAACTGCTGGTCCCCAGGGCTCGGGTATTTTTTTAAGCTACAGGATACAGGACGAGCCATGGTTGGACATGTGGGAGTCCAGCAGCATAACCACTACAACATCTGCCCCTGGGTCCTTTTATTTATTGTTTTAATAGGAATGTGTTTGGCTTCACACAGTAGATTGTAATACGTAAACTGGACTGTATATAGGATTATAATAAGGTAAATTGTTGAAAATAGCTGGGCAAGCAGGTTGTGGGTAGCTTAAGGCAACTGGATCCTATATTACCAGATGTGCAGTACAAGTCACAGATACCATGGCTTGAAAACCTGGCCATTGTGCATGCCCAAAACCTTGAGAATTGGGGTAGGCACTGGTGTGACCATTCCCCCATCCTTCAAAGGTGATTTTTCATTTTCACTTTTTCTGTCCAGGTGAGCACAAATACCTTACAGCAAACTAAACCAAAAAATACTTGTCTTGTGGAAACTGCTGTGTATTTCCTGGGGCTGGTAGGCATTAAAATTTTTGTTTACCAACTAGGAAATAGGACAGTAAATGATGACTTAAGGTCCTAGATTAGATGGAAGTAGCTGTCCACTTTTATGGTTGAGATACACTATTAAAGCATTAATTTATAAAAATTGATAGTAACCACATTAATAAGGTGGTGATTTTGTGATGACATTTTTCGGTGAAGAGAATTTTTTATTAAAGCTTTGAAAGTTGAGAATGTTAAAAGGATTTAAGAAATTTATGGGCCAGCAGGTGGTGTGGTTAAGAGTGCTGGACTCCCACATTGTCAACTACTGTTCAAGTCCCAGACCTGGCTATTTGCTTTCTCACTACCTCCACCCCCACATAAAGTTAAAATTTTTTTTTTTTTAAATTATAAGCTGTTTTACAATGTCCCTATTTTTTCAGAGCACATGCCTTCCAAAAATAAAGACTGGTTTTACCATTGGAAAGTTATTAGTAGGTTGTTGGGAAGTCATTACATTGTTTCTATGCTAAGATGCATCATGAGTTTCCCAACAACCCAGTAGCTCGGTTTGAAGAACTAGTTTATAAATTATTGGTTCTTTTGATTTTTTTATGTAGTTTTTTCATTTAACCAGGCTTATGAGAAATTGAGGCTTTTCCTGACTCCATATTTAGGGTTTTTAGAATGGTATAGTTGATGTATCAATATCTAATAAAGCATGAAGAGGACTTAAAATTCAAGCTTCAGGTTATACAAATTAGTGGTTATTTACCCATTGATTTGGCAAGTTCACAAAGGGTAAGAAAAAAATTAAACTGTTTTATTGCCATCTTGTGACAAATAGAATGAACTACATAAAAACGTTGACTACATTGCTAAGATTGTAACATTCTCTACTTGTTTTTAGGTTTTTGCCTCAGGGTTCTGTGATCTGTTGGAGGGGAGAAAGAGAAATCACCCTGGGGGGGGGAGGATGGCCACACTACAGTCCCTTCTCCATTGGGATTTTGGGCACTCATGCACGCACACAGTGATTATCAAGCCAAGAGTCCAGTACTCAGACCAGGACCATAAACACCACACCACTTGCTGGCCCCCAGGAATATTGTTTTTGTATATCACTGGTATAGTGAGCTAACCAGAAGGTTTTTTGTTTTTTTTAATGAGATTCTTCAGTTATTTTTTTTGAGAGGTTTTTGCTATAGGAGGGTGCATGTGCTCGCCAGAGAGACAGAAAGTGAGAAATCACCCCCCAGGGGAAATGGCCATGCTGCAATCCCTTCTCCATTCTCCTCTCTGCATCTTGGGCACGCACACACATGCACCTGGCGTGAGTTTTAAGCCACTGGGTCTGGGACGCGAACCATGGTAGACTATGGGAGTCCAGCGACATAGCCATTACGCTAACTGCTTGTCCCTTGGCAACTTTAAATCATCCCCATTGTTCTATTTAAATGGTATTAGTTGTAGATGTTTGGGTTAGTATTTACATGAACAATTTTGACTATTTTTTTGAAAGGGCATTCTTATATATGGTATACATAGTATTAACATGAGGTATTACTTCGAGTACTCACATTTTTTTCACTGCTTAAATGAGAAGAGAAAACTTCAAATTACTTATTCATCACTGGAGAAAATAGCTGTTCCAGGTCCATATGTAGCAATAAACTGTTGAAGCTGCTGTTGGCACTGAGTCAAATACAAATCCCTTTGCTCTAAATGCTCGTCATCATACAGTTCGAATGGAAATACAGCATTTGGAGCAACACAAAACACAGTGGCCCCTAAATGAAGAAAATAAATGTGAGTGAAGTTTCCCATAGAATGCTAAATGTGAAATCGCATACTTCAATGAAAGTTTAAAAATCAAACTTGGGGCCAGCAAATGGTGTACTTAGGAAGCTGGACTGCAGCATGGCCAGCCAGGGTTCGAGTCTTAGACCTGGCGGCAGCTTTCTTTTTGTCTCTTGTCTCTCTGGTGAGTGCTTGTGCCTGATAGCAAGTGTTAAAATTAATTCTTTAAAACAATCAAATGGACCTATTCAGTAGGATGTTTTAATAATTGTTTAAATCTGACTTTGTCGTGGTGGTGGGGCAGTTAGGCTGTGCCTGTGGTATCTTTTAGACAGTTATTCTGTATATGATCCTGCTCCAGTCTCCCTAGCATCTAGGACTACAAGTAAGCAACACTACCCCTATCCTTTTTTTTTTTTTTTTTTGGAGAGATTTTTTGCTATAGGGCGCCTGTGCTTGCCAGAAAGACACAGAGAGACAGAGATAAAAAGCAAGAAATCATCCCCAGGGTGGGTGGCCATGCAACAATCTGCGATCCCTTCTCCATTCTTTTCTCAGGATCTTGGGCATGCACACAGGCCCGACGTGAGTTTAAGCCACCGGGTCTGGGACTTGAACCGTGGCCGACTACATGGGAGTCCAGCGACATAGCCATTAAACTAACTGCTGGTCCCTGCACCCAGCCTTTTAGGGTGGGCCAGGAACCTTAATGTTTTCATGGCCTCAAGCCTCCAGAGCAGCAGTATCCAACGCATGCTGCCATGGCTAAGCTTTTGTTTTGAAGCCCTGCTGAGTTTCCCAAGGACACTTGCTCTTTTACTCCCCATAAAAATTTATATTCCATTTTCAAACTTGTTTTGTTTTTTAGAGGTTTTTGCCTCAGGACACATGTGTTTGCCAGGGAGAGAGAGAGAGAGACTGCTGGTTCCCGAAACATTTCTTTCTTGAGTCTGGAACACCTCATTTAATTATCCCCCCTACATTCTAACTGGTACCTCTCAGTCACTTGTTAGTTCCTTCTCAACTCTATTTCTGAATATCGAAATATTTCTAATTTCAAGGGCAGTCCTAGAATTCTCTGGTTTATGTAGGTGATTTCATCCATTCCTTGACTTTGGATACCATCTCTTGCTGATGATTCCTAAATTATATTTCTAAATAGCTCTGTATTCCTCTATCTACCTGTTGATATTTCTGGTCCCCCCCTGTCGTGAGTTTTAAGTCAATGGGTCCAGGACTCGAACCACTGTCGACTTCGTGGGAATCGAGTGACATAATCATGTCATCTGCTGGTGCCTGTATTGATTCTTTTATGTCTGTTTTCTCGTTAATGTGTAAGCTGCACCAGAATAAAACTTTTTTCAAAAGATTTTTGGGGATCAGCAGTTAGCGTAATGGCTATGTCGCTGGACTCCCACATAGTCAACCACAGTTCGAGTCCCGGACCCGGTGACTTAAACTCACTTCGGGCGCGTGTGCATGCATGCCCAAGATCCCGTGAGGAGAGTGGAGAAGAAGGGATTGTGGTGTGGCCATCCCCCCTGGAGGGTGATTTCTCGTTTTCTGTCTCTCCATCTCTGTCTTTCTGGAAATCACACGTGCCCTGTAGCAAAAACCTCTCCAAAAAAAAAGATTTTTGCTATAGGGTGCATGTGTTCGCCAGTGAGGCAGAGAGTCAGAAAATGAGAAATCACCCCCTAGGGGGATGGCCATGTCTCAATCCTTTTTCTTCTTGGGATTTTGAGCACGTATGCACACATGCCTAGCATGAAATTTAAGCAGCTGGGTCCAGATTCAAACTGTGATCAACTATGTGGGAGTCCAGCAACATAACCATCTGCTGGTCTCAAGACTTTTAAAAGGAATTATTTATTTAATTTTAATTATTACTAGTAGTAGCTTTTTTTTTTTTTTTAGATGTTTTTGCCTGAAGGTGTATGCGCTTGTCAAAGGAGACAGAGACATTGAGAGGGAAAGTGAGAAATCACCCCCCAAGGGGGAAGGCCACACTGCAATCCCTTCTCTCCTCCATTTTCCTCCTGAGATCTTGGGCATGCATGCACACACACCTAGCATGATTCAAGTCAACTATGTCCAGGACTCAAACTGCAATCAGCTATGTGGGAGTCCAGTGATGTAACCGCTATGCCATCTGCTGGCCCCAGTAATTTTTTTTAAGTTTACTATAGGCTATGTGCACCTAACTAGATAAAGAAAGTGAGAAAGCAAGCTACCAGCTCTGGGACTCAACTGTGGGAGTCTAGCACCTTAATTGCCATGCCACCTGCTGGGCCCGACTCTTTTTTTTTGTAACCACTATATCTAGTGTTTAGCATCCACTTATCACTCAGTATTTATTGACTCAATGATTGGATAAACCAATCATGAATGTTTAATTCGAATAGTCATAATTATGCAGCATATTATGAGAACTATAATTTTTATTTTTATACTATAATGTTTATATAACATCAATCCTAAATAACCTTAAATTACTTTTACAGTTTTACTTTAATAAGTGATATGCAAATAGTGGGTAGAAATATTCATAGTACTGTGTGATCAACTAGGGAATCTTAAGTATGACTTTGTATAAAAGCTGCCTGTACTTTTCATGTTAATTTTATAACCTACCCAAGAAAAATATTCTTGGCAAGGATCATTTTCCTACTATGTTTTAAAGTAACATTTAAGGAGTTTTTTGACACTGTTTTGCTTAAGACTTAAAAATCAATACACCAGGCCAGCAAGAGGCTTGGAGGTTAAGGCAGCTGAGTCCCACATGTTCAAGCCCAGACCCAACCGCTTGAGAAACACGCCATGCATACATGTGTGCATGGTAAAAACCCTGAGAAGCAAATGGAGAAAAAGGGATTATGACATGGCCATCCCTCCTGGAGGTGATTTCTCACTTCCCCTCTCACTCTGTCTCTCTCAAGCGCACGTGTGCTCTGTAGCAAAAAAAAAAAAAGTATACCTAACTGAAAATCATTATGAAAACAAAAGTATTATAACTGAAGGAGAAAGAATATCTTCACATAACTTCTCTTAAAAACTTTTTTGAAAGAATTACTTTATTATTATTATTTAATTTTCTACAGGACATATGCTCTTACCAGAGAGAGAGAGAGCAACCCACCAGTAGTTCTGGGACTCAAACCGTGGTCAGCCATGTGGGAGTCCAGGGCTTTAACCACCACACCACTTGCCAGTCCCAATACAAACTTTCTTAAATGCTTCAACAAAGTCTTGACACAACAGTCACCAAATGAAAATATTCAACCATATTCTACAATAAGAATCCTTAATATTATAACACCATAGTTTTCTGATTTGCAGACACATTTATCTTATTACTGAAATCTAATAATTGATAGCATATCATAGTAAAATTGGCAGCATTTTTTCTTTATAGTACATAAAATAATATATCTTAGATGTGATGAAATATGGTTTTAAATATAAAGAGAATGTAAAGATAAAGCAAATTAAAAATAAAAATATTGGGCCATCAAATGGTGTAGAAGTTAAGGCAGTTGGATCCCACATGGCCAACTATGTTGTTCAAGTCCCAGACCCAGTGGCTTAAAAAAAAGCTGGGTATGTGTGCCCAAGATTCTGAGAAGAAAATAGAGAAGGAATTATGGCATGGCCATCCTCCTTCGGAGGTGATTTCTCTCTCTTTCTGCTTCTTTCTATAAAGTGTATGCAACTCTACAGCAAACTGAAACAAACAAACAAAAAATATATATGTATACCCTCTCTATTATTTAGTATTACTTGGGAACCAATGTTTTTCTCTTGGTAAATAAAACTAATTCAGGGCCCAGCAACAGTGGCAGATGTGGGAAGGTGCTATGGTGTGTTGACTGGGGCCACATGGGAGACCTGGGTATGATTCCTAGCCCAATCAAACAGGCAAGTGCACTGGTGCATGCCTGTGTTCCTAGCTAACTGGAGGCTGGGTCAGAAAGATTATGATGAGCAAGATCCTGTCAAAAATACTGTTAGTCTCCCTCCCACTTGCTCATAAGAGAAAAAAAGGCTAATTCAGGATAATAACCTTCTCTGGGGTGGAGGCGGTCAACGAATCTCTAAGACATACTTCATAAAACTTATGATCCATCTTCCTAGGGGATAAAAACATATAAGGCATGCACTAAATATAAATTTGTATATAATTTAGGTACTCAAAAGCCCCTTGGACTAAAGCATTCATGGATAACTACTGCATTGTCGGAAAAGTCATGAGTATTTTTTCAGTTTTTCAATGCAAAAATATGTCATGACTTTTCTGACAATCCAATAGGTTAAGAACACTTGATTTAGATAGTTATAGAACAGGGTTTAATGTTCTAATGGATCTTTTGAACAGTTAATACAATGTACATCTCATTTAAAGCAAATTTAGGCACTAAACACAGAAAAACTTGATTCAAAACATTCTTTAACTGTCAGGATTTGAAACAAAGTTTGGTTTGAAGCACTCTTACTCTCATCAAAATTAATGTCTTATTTAATTTGACAGAGAAGTTTGTGAGAACTCTTACTTTTATATGAAAAAATGCCCCCCTCCAATTTTCTTTTTTTAAAAATTTGCCAGAGGGACCAGTAGTTGGCATAATGTCTATGTCGCTGGACTCCCATGTAGTTAACTGCGGTTCGAGTCCCAGACCCGATGGCTTAAACTCACACCAGGTGCATGTGCATGTGTGCCCAAGATCCCGAGAGCAGAATGGAGGAGAAGGGACTGCAGCGTTGCTGTCTCCCCTGAAGAGTGATTTCTTGCTTTCTGTCTGTCTGTCTCTGTCTTTATGGTGAGTGCACGCACCCTATAGCAAAAAAAACTCTCAAAAAAAAAAAAAAATTGCCAGAGGGTGAATGTGCTTGCTGGAGAGAGGGAGAGAAAGTGAGAAAGCACCTCTCATGGGGGATGGTAATGCTACATCTCTTCTCCATCTCTCTCTCCTGTCAGGATGTTGGGCATGCTTGTGCACACATGCCTGGCATGTTTTTCAAGCCACCAGGTCTGGGATTAGGACTGCACAGTCGACCATGTGGGATCCAGCTACCTTAACCACCAGGTTACCTATAGGCTTCCCCTCCCTTTTAAAGTTTATTTATTTATTCCAAGAGGAGCAATATATATAGAAAGAAACAGAGACAGACAGGAATCCCCAGCAGGGTCCTCATGCCATGATTGACCTATCATACCTAGCTTCAGCCAACCCTGGATCATGAGCATGCTCACATCCAGCATGTTCAGGGAGGTCTTCAGATGTGAACCTGGAACCTTCCCATGTGAATCAGCCTCACAGCATTTTGTACCACTGCTCAGACCTTTTAGAGCCCTTATATGTTTTTATTAGAAAACTTTAATAAGTAGCATTTATTTCACATAAATGGTATGTGCATAATTTTAAAATGAGCAATTCAGAGAAGGTGGTGATGCAAAATAATTACATGTTCTTTCGCTATGTGCCTAATTCCTCTGTTGAGGATTGCTTGACAACTAAAATGTTTGTATTATTTTAAAAGGAAACCAAATTAAGATAATTTTATATGCTGTATTAAGTACTTTCTCTTTTCAGAATTCTTTAAGCAATGCAGAAATTTCAGTATAGAAATAAGAATGCATAATAAAGAACTTAATATGATGATACTACCTTTAAACAATTAGTAAATATTCAAATTCAAACAGGTCTTATCTGATAGAGATTAATTATTCTTTAAGATAATATTAAAAATATATGGAACATTGGGAACCAGCAGTTAGCGTAATGGCTATGTCGCTGGATTCCCACGTGGTCGACCGCGGTTCGCGTCCCGGACCCGGTGGCTTAAAACTCACGCCGGGCACGTGTGCGTGCGTGCCCAGGATCCCGGGAGGAGAATGGAGGAGAAGGGATTGCGGCGTGACCATCCCCCCTGGGGGATGATTCTCGCTTTCTATCTCTATGTCTCTCTCTGTCTGTCTGGCGAGCGCACGCGCCCTATGGCAAAAACCTCTCAAAAAAAAAAAAATATATGGAACATTTTATTTTAATGGACTAAGAATATTTATGTTTAAATATTACTTGGAGTGATCATTAATAATATATTACCATATTTTAGTGTCAACGATGTTTCAAATAATAAGGCTGCAATTAGGACATCTTCTTTAAGCACTTTATTCCTTAAATTCAGTCGAGCATGGGCTTCAGAAAGGGAAACTCTAAAAAAGAAAATTGATATCAATCAAAATATGTTGGTATTACCTAATGATACATATTTTGGCAGGAACAAACCAAGACAAATGTGAACATTAGCCACATCTTAAAGATCAGCATATTTTTAGTTTTTAAGAAAATTTTAGTTTCCTTTCAAAGCATTTTGTCCCTACCGACTTGAACAGACTTGTTTCAGACAAGCCAATATCCTGATTTATAATGAAAGAATTAGTTTCAATCCTGGCTTCTATTTGTGATTTCATATCACCTTCCTACATTAATGTTCAGGTAAATATGCATCAGCACATCAATGATGTCTTCCATTCTTCAACTATCTGAAGTCCTCACAGAATCTTATAATTTTGGTGTCTGAAGAGAGCTTGAGTTCAAAAAGCTCAAACACCCATTAGATAATTAAATGTCCTCTACAACATTCCGGCTAATCATTTTCCAGTCTCTATTGAACCTTTCCTAGCATACATTTCTTTGTGAGGCAATTAATATCTTTTCTCTGGAGAGTAATCTGGGACATCTGTTTTTTTTTTTTTTTTTTTCTTCCCTTTTTTTTTTTTTTTTTTTTTTTTTGGTTTGCTGTAGGGTATGTGCACTCACCAGAGAGAGAAAGAGAGTGAGAAATCACCCCTAGGAGAATGGTCATGTCGCTATCCCTTTCTCCTCCATTCTCTTCTCAGGATATCACTACTGAGGGTTTTTCAAACTGCCAGGTCCAAGACTCTAATCAGGAAGTTGGCCATATGGGATCCCAGTGCTTTAACCCCCATGCCATGCTGGTCCATCTTTTATTTTATTATTTTATTTATTTATTTTTTAGAGAGGGTTTTTTGCTATAGGGTATGCACACTCACAGGAGAGAAAGAGACACAGACAGAAAGACAGAAAGTGAGAAATCACCCTCCCCCTCCCCGGGGAAATGGCCACATCACAATCCCTTCTCTTCCATTCTCCTCTTGAGATCTTGGGCACACGTGCCCGGTATGAGGTTTAAGCCACCAGTTCTGGGACTCAAACTGTGATAGACTATGTGGGAGTCCAGTGATGGTAACCATTACGCCATCTGCTGGTCCCCCGCATCTTTTTATTTTTTAACCAGCTTTGATACCATAAGCTTTCATTAGACAGATATGATATATGTATAGGACTTGAATGATTGCTGGACTTGAGAATCAAAAAACCTAGACTGCATTTCTTAGAATTTACAATATGGGGGCTGGCAGGTTGCATGGTGTTTAAGGCACTAGACTCCCACATGGTTGACCACATTTCAAGTCCGAGACCTAGTGGCTTGTTTTTCTCACTTTCCCTATCTCTCTCTCTCTCTCTCTGTCTCTATCTGGTTAAATAATAAGAATAAATAAAATTAAATACTTCTTTATATACAAAAAAGAATTTACAACATGTGTCTTCATATAAATCACTTAATTTCTTAGATTTTATAAATGATTAAAAAAAAAATTCGATATTTTGGGACTGGTAGGTGATGTGGTTGTTAAGATGCTGGACTCTCACATGGCCTACCATAGTTCAAGTCCTGGACCTGGAGGCTTGCTTTCCTATTTTCCCTTTCTCTCTCTCTGTCTCTCTGTAGTCAAATGAAATAAATAACGATGATGACAATAAATAAAATAATTCTTTTAAAAAGTTTGATGTTTTAAAAGTTCAGCCATAAAGTGGTGATGGTAAGTAAAGGTATTTGAAAGTTTTACAACTAACCTACAAAGCCTATATAAATCTAAGCTGAAATCAGTTTCTCTACAATTTTCACCCACTGGTCTTTTGTTTTGTGTTCTGGGACTGCAGAACAAGCCTAATATCTCTTAAATGTGATAATCTTCAAATATTTAAAGATAATTTTTATAATTGCCATATGTTTTTTCTTCGCCAACCTAAATATTCCTAGTTATTTTAATATGTCTTGATACATAATTTTTGTTCTGCACCATCCTGAGGTACTCGCCCTGTGAACCGATTTGGTTAACACTCCTTTCAGTTCAGTAGTACAGGTGATTTGACTTTCAGAGTAGAGATGAAGTAGAAGTAGCATTCTCTTGCTCTTGATTAATATAACCAAATCTCAGTATTATTAACAGCCATGTTATATTGTTCACTCATAAATAATGTACTCTCTAGTCCTTTTTTTATCTTTTCATATTAAGTAACATCACTGTTTTCTTGTCCATTCACATTTGCCCTGGTGTTTAGGGATCTCACTGAGGACTTTACATTTAACTTGTTAGCTTAAGACCATAATTCAAACCTGTAAAAGTCTCTCCAATGTTGTTGATTTACAAATGTCTTATCATGTCTTTTATGTCCCTAGCCAAGCTCATTCTGAAAATGCTGAAGGACATTTATGTTAAATAATGGCATATGTAGCCAACCAGGTGGCATGATGGTTAAGGTGGGGGTAGGGGGGTAGGCAGGGAAGGGGTCCTACATGGCTAACTGTGCAGTTCAAGTTCTGGACCTTGTGACTTGAAAAACACACTAGGCATATGTGCATATGTGCCCAAAATCCTGAGAGGAGAATTGAGAAGGGATTGCAGCATGGTCATCTCCCCTGGTGGTTTCTCATTTTTCCTTTCTCTCACTCTCTCTCTTTTTTTCTCTGGTGAGTTCATGTACCCTATAGCACATTAAAAAAAAAATATATATATATATGAAACTTTTAAAAATAGCATATGTATAGAGCCTTTCAGTGAAACTGTAGTGCAGCTATTAAAACAAAATGAGGTGGGGACAGCAGATAGCATGGTGGTTAGGGTGCTGGACTTCCATATGGCTAACTGCAGTTTGAGTCCTAGACCTGGTGGTTGCTTTCTTACTTTCCCTCTCTCTGTCTCTCTCTGATCAGATTAAAAAGTAATAATAATAATAATAAATAAATAAAATTAAAATTAATTATTTAAAAAAACAGGATGAAGTAATTCTTGGGGCCAGTAGATAGACTGGTGGTTAAGATGCTGGATCCCACATGGCTGACTATCCAGTTTGAGTCCTGGACCAAACAGCTTGAAAAACATGCTGTGTGTGTTTGTGTGTGTGTGCATTTCCAAAATCCTGAGAGAAGAATGGAGAAGAAGAGATAGTGGCATGCCATCTACTTGGGAGGTGATTTCTCACTTTTCCTTTCTGTCTCTCTCTGGCAGGTGCACACACCCTGTATTAAAAACTGAAAAAAGAAGAATGAGCTAATTCTTGGGGCCAGTAGATGAAATGGTGGTTCAAATATTGGACCCAGCAGCTTGAAAAACATGCCCAGCACATGTGCATGTATGCCCCAAATCCCAATCTGAGAATGGAGGGGAAGGGATTGTGGCATGGCCATCACCTCTTGGGGTATGATTTTTCTTTCCTTCTCTCTGATAAGCACACACTCTAGCAAAACCTTAAAAAAACAAAAACAAAAACAAATAATAAGCAGAATGGGGGCCAGCAGATGGCCCAGCAGTTACATTTCTGGACTCCTGAATGGTTGACTTCAGTTCGAGTCCTGGACCCAGTGGCTTCAAATGCATGCTGGGTCCGTGTGCATGCATGCCCAGGATCCTGGGGAGAGAATGGCGGAGAAGGGATTGCAGTATGGCTATCCCCCCTGGGGGTTGATTTCTCACTTTTCCTCTCACTCTCTCTCTTTGGAGAGCACACAAGCCCTAAAGCAAAAAACCTCTTAAAAAAAAAAAAAAAAAAAAAGGAATGAGATAGTTCTTTATGTGCCTGCATGAGTTCATGTGAGTAAAAAGACTGTATTTATCCATATAAAAATATGTTTATATACTTATATATATGCGCAAATAATGTTTATTTAAACATATATAACATTTAAAGAAAATATGTTTTATTTATCATATTTAAATTATATACACGTATAACTTAGTATTTGGATAATTTCTAGAAGGATCATCAAAACTTTTAGCAGTTATTGTCTCTGAGAAGTGGGGTAGGAATGGCTAGAGTTAGTAGGATACTATGCTCATCATTTCAGACTTACACAATATCCATACTTTGCTTTTATAATAAAAAATAGGGTTTTTAAAAAACTTTTTAAAGGATAACAATAGATATGTCTTTTAAAGTGTTTAAAAGTATGAGGAACATATACTAGAGAAGCTTTTTTTTTTTAAAGAATTATCTTATTTAACTTTATTTATTTATTTATTTATTTATTTATTTATTTATTTATTATTTAAATTTGACCAGAGAGGAACAGAGTAAAAGAGAAACAGAGAAGGAAAATGAGAAAGCGAGCCGCCAGATCTGGGACTTGAACTGCAGTCGGCCATGTGGGAGTCTAGCGCCCTTAACCACCATGCCACCTGCTGGCCCCAGAAGTTTGTTTTTATCCCATGTTGAACTACAAAATACCTGGAGTGTAAATAACCACATTTTCATTTTTAATTCTTTTTAGTTTTTGCTACAGTGTATGTGTACTCACAGGAGAGAGAGAAAGTGAGAAATCACTTCCCAAGGGGTATGGCCACACCACAATCCTTTCTCCATTTTTCTCTTGAGATTTTGGGCACACACATACACACACATGCTCAGTGTGATTTTCAGGCCTCTGGTTCCAGACTCAAACAACATAGTAGGCCATGTAGAATCTAGCCGCATTAACCACCACACTGCTGACTGGCCCAATAGTCACATTTTTTTTTTTATAAGGTTTTTGCCAGAGGGTATGTGTGCTTGCCAGAGAGAGAGAGATAGTGAGAGGGAAAGTGAGACATCACCCTCAAAGGGGGATGGCCATATTGCAATCTCTTTTCTTCCATTCTCTCAGGATTTGGGGCATGCATGCACAGGTACCCAGCATGATTTTTAAGCCACCAGGTCCAGGACTCAAACTGTGGTCAGCCATGTGGGAGTCCAGAGCCTTTACAACCATGCTACCTGCTGGCCCTCAATAGTCACATTTTTATTTTATTTATTTATTTATTTATTTATTTATTTATTTATTTATTTATTTGGAGAGGTTTTTGTTATAGGGCGTGTGCACTCGCCTGACAGACAGAGAGAGACAGAGAGACAGAAAGCAAGAAATCACCCCCCAGGGGAGATGGCCACACCACAATCCCTTCTCCTCCATTCTCCTCTTGGGATCTTGGGCACGCACACACACGCGCCCGGCATGAGTTTTAAGCCACTGGGTCCGGGACACGAACTGTGGTTGACTACATGGGAGTCCAGCGACATAACCATTACGCTAACTGCTAGTCCCAATAATCACATTTTTAAAAACAATCATCTGCTGAAATCAGTACACTTTTCTCAGATACATCTCATAAGGGGGACCTAATAAAAATTAAGTGGAAAACAAAATGAATAGAGGTTCAAATGACATAACAATATAACAAAACTAAAGCCGCCTTAAGTTCTTTTATAACAAGGTAAATTAATCAACCAACCAACTAGGTAATAAACAAGAGAAAAAGTGAAATAGATAAATTAATTAAACTCATCTTTTAAAAGTCAATACTGGCTTTAAAATCTTGAACTGAATACATACAAATATTTTAGTGCAGATGCTGATAATTTTGTTCCACATATAGAATCTGTTCTGATTTTGCGACTTGCTAGATAATAACCATGAATCATTCTTTCTGCCTCCAAGCTGAATTCCACATTCAAACTCTTTGCAAAAGCCAGGAGCTAAATTAAAAGTGTGAAAATTTAAGAGATTTGAGTATTATTATAGAATCTATATAACAAAACCCCAAAGTACATTGGCATTGTATTTTTAAAAGTTTATATACTTTACCCACATAAAAATTGAGTACATATCTGGGGCCATCCCAAAGTCACTAAGCACTTTAAATCATAGTGTTATTCTTGTGAAGAATATTAAAATTTACCCAGTATAGTGTCCTTTTCCTCTGTGCAGAAATGTTCTGGGAAATGTGTTTGAATGACTAACATGCTTTGCTTCCAATGGGAGAAAGGCTCACCTCTCAAAAGTCATTTCTCTTTTGAATAGCTTCAATTCTTTAACAGTTTGTTTTCTTGTAACTTACTCTCTTTGGCAGTACTTATTTCCCTTCTTTCTTTTCACTTTATTTATTTATTTTTTTTGAGAGATTTTTGTTGTAGGGTGTATGCGCTCACCAGAGAGACAAAGAGACAGAAAGTGAGAAATCACTCTCTGTGATTGAGGAGATGGCCAAGCTGCAATCCCTTCTCCTCCATTCTCCTCTCAGGATTTTGGGCACGTACACACATGTGACTGGTATAAGTTTCAAGCCACCAGGTCTGGGACTCGAACTGCAGTTGATTACATGGGAGTCCAGCGACGTAACCATTATGCCATCCACTTGGTCCCACCCATTTTTCCTTTTAAAAATGACTTAATCTTGTAGTGAAGAAAGCACTGTGTCAGCTGCTATCAAGATGGGCTTTGGGAGATTCAGTAAGACTTTGTAGAGAATAATTCTTCAATACAGTGATTGTCAGTATTTTCTTTGAGTGGTGTACTCTTTTTATTCTGAATCAGTGATTCTGTTTCCAAAGTTTTTACTTAACGACAAAATTTCTAAACTTTTCACCATTCTAGTTTTTTTTATGCTTTTTCAACTTAGAGAATGGAAAGAAAAAATAAAACAAAATTGCTTTTGGGTTAGCCTCATACAGCCATGGTTGAGTGCTGTACATTGGAGCTGGATCCCATGGCTTACTGTGGTTCAAATCCAGGTTTTGGTGGCTTGAAAAACACTCTGGGCACATGTGTATGTGTGACCCAAATCCTGATGGGATGGAAAAACGGAGGAAGAAGGACTGTGGTGTGACCATGCCCTATTGGAGAGTGCTTGCTCTTGCTGTCTCCCTTTATCTCTGGCCAGTGCACATGCCCTCTGGCAATAAAATAAAATATTAAAAAAAAAAACAAGAGAGAAATGTTGTAGCAAGGATTAAAAAAAGGTTGCTATTATAATGTATATATATATATACATGACATATTTTTGTTTCTCTATGCAAAAATGCATCATGACTTTTCTGACAACTATATACATATATATACATATATACATATATATATATATATATATAGAGAGAGAGAGAGAGACAGAGACACATATCTATACATATATATATATATATATACTTTTTAGTTTGTCATAGGGTTTGTGCATTCACCAGAGAGAGAGAGAGGAAGTGAGAAGGCACCCCCCAGGGAGGATGGCCATGCCACAATCCCCTCTTTTCCATGCTTCTCTTGGGATATGAAGCAGGTATGCACACAAGCGTGGCATGGTCCCCAAGCCACCAGGTCTAGGACTCAAACCATGCAGTTATCCATGTGGGATTCTATGGAGAGTAGCCAATCTAATCCACAGCCTCTCCTACTCAGAAAAACATGTTCTGCCAAGCAGGTCCTGGCAGGATTCAGTTGTCCCAACCACCACACCACTGGCTGGTCCTAAGATTTATGTTTTAAATATAACTTTTTTTTTTAAGGTGTTTGCTATAGGGTGTGTGTGCTTGCCAGTGAGAGACAGTGAGTGAGAGGGAAAGTGAGAAACTACCCCTCCTGGGGGGGGGAATGGCCATGCCACAGTCCCTTCTCCTCCATTCTCCTCTTGGGATTTTGGGCACATAAATACACATGCCTGGCATGAGTTTCAAGCTGCCAGGTCTGGGACTCAACTATGATTGGTTATGAGAGTCCTGCAACACAACTACTATGCCACCTGCTGGCCCTAAATATAACTTTTTAAAAAGTATATAGGACATGTCCTGGATTAGATATGCCCTATATTTTTATTCTCCTTGTGTATGGATACTTCAAAAAGTTCATGAAAAATTAGAATTAAAGTACAAATTTAATTTGGTACAAAACTTTTTTGGAAATCCATGCATACATTTTTGATATGTATTTTCCATAAACTTTTTAAAGACTCCTTCATACTGCATAATTCTCTCCAGGACTTCAGAATAGGACACTACGACAACAACGACAACTACTACTACTACGACCACTACTGTCAATGGCTCTCTCTAAGCAAGATGAGCCACTTATGTCCCTCTTCAGCAAAGGACTTGCCCCAGCTACAGGGAGTGCTGCCAGTGATGGCTTGCAGCTGTCAGCCCCTTCACAGATGGCCCCAGGACAGCCCACATCATATCACTGATTGAGGTGGAAGTGAGGAAGGAAGCTTCTAAGGTCCCTCCATTTTGATCCAAAGCAGGACAACTCTGCTGGGTTTCCAGAGTTCCTTATGAGGCCAGCAGAGTTTAATGTTGGGTCTACATTGTAGCTAGATTCCCCTCTCTACCCAATCCTGCTTCTTTCTCCCTTCTAATGGCATTGATAGAAGAGAACTCCCTAATAAATATCAGCACACTAAATTCCATCTCAGTCTGCCTTCTGGAGAATTCAGGCTGCCACAAATTCCATCTACTCTGATTTGTGTGATAGATACATTTATTTTTCAGAAAAACTATTTTCACTGTTTCACTTGCCTACTAAAGTCTACAGCTGTTGTCTACAGTCTGACAAACCAACTATAAACTTTTCTTCCTGAACTTCCAGGCTTATTGTAAATTTTCTATATCTCCATGACTCCATAATATAATTTTTGCTCCAGCTGGTCACCTCATTAGTTTTACTAATTTTTACTTCTATGTATGTTATCCTTTTGTTATTTCTGCTTATGATACCTATCCTTTCTGGTATCTAAATTTTGTTTTCTTAAGACCCAACTAAAGCTCCACTGCCATTAAGTCTCCCCAACTCTTGCATTCTACATTGATACCTTCCTTTCTGAATTCCTAAAGTATTTAGTCAGTACTAAATAGTCAGTTTGGTACTTAAATTGTCCTTTGTTTTATGTATCTTGTTTTTAATCCTGATTAAATTATGTTACTTAAAGAACAAAGTTTATATTTCTGTGAGAATAGAAAAACAAAAATAGGCTTATATATTTGAAGTATTCAGTAAATATCTGAATTATGAATAAATTCATGGGCTTTTTGCTTTTTTTATTTTTCCATTAATTTGCTAAAGGACCAGCACAATTGCCAGAGAGAGCAATAAAGTGAAAAAGCACCACCCCAGGAATGATGGCCGTGCTGCAATATCTTCTACTCTATTCTCCTCTTGGGGTTTTGGGTATGCATGCACATGTATCTGGTGTGTTTTTCAGGCCTCCAGGTCCAGGACTTAAACTGCTCAGTCAGCTAGGTGAGATCCATCTGACTTAACTACCATACCACTAGCTGGCCCAAGCTGGTTCTCTTTTTAGACAGGGTGTCATTGTGTTGCCCAGGCCTGCTCTGAGGTTACAACCTTCATGATTCAGTCTCCCCAGTCATTGGTCACAGGGATTACAGGCTTATGCCACTATACCTAGCCTTTTTAGGTTGAACAGGAAATAGCACTCAGGCCTCCTTTGTGGTACTAGCTGGGGAAGCACTGTGTCCTAGTAGTACTACCTCAGCTGAAAGAAAGTCAGAATAAAAGAACCCTATTTAAAAAGGTGCTCTGAGGGACCAGCAGTTAGCGTAATGGCTATGTCGCTGGACTCCCACGTAGTCGACCACGGTTCACGTTCCCGACCCGGTGGCTTAAAACTCAAGCCGGGGCAATGGGCCAAGATCCCCAGAGGAGAATGGAGGAGAAGGGATTGCAGCGTGGCCATCCCCGCTTGGAGGTGATTTCTCGCTTTCTGTTTCCCTCTCTCTCTGTCTGGCGAGCGCACGCACCCTATAGAAAAAACCTCTACAAAAAAATAAATAAATAAAAAGGCGCGCTGAGGAACTTCTATTTAAATTAAGAAATACTAGCACAGTTATTCTGGGTAATCATTTTCTTTACCTTACCTTTTCAAAATCTTCAGTCGTGAACTGTTTTGAAGCTACATAAAACAGTCCTTCAGGATCAATGGCTTTCTTTAAAGTATGTTGCACAGTAGGAAGAAGTGGGTGGCAAGGAGATGATTCATTGCAGTTAATCAATAATCCAAAGGCTTCTGCAAGATTAGCTGGAATCAAACTGCAATCCTATATCAAACCAAAAGGTAACAAGCAGATGGTGTGGTGGTTAAGGAAATGGACTCCTACATGACCAACTGTGGTTCAAGTTCTGGACCTGGTGGCTTGCTCTCTTACTTTCTCTCTCTCTCCTCTCTCTCTCTTTCTCTGGTGAGCACACATGCCCTGTAGCAAATTGAAAAACAATAAAAATTATAAATAAAATGAAGTAAAAATAATTCTTTAAAAAAATTTAGTTTTGCTTTAAGGTATATGCATTCACTAGAGAGACAGAGAGAAAGTAAGAAATCATCCTCCATAGGGAATGGTCACACCACATTATTACATTCCCTATGATAGTGATGATAGACCAGTGTGTTTTCCAAGCCGCTTCATCTAGAACTTGAACCACACAGTTAGCCATGTAGGATCCAGCTGACTTAACCTCCATGCCTCCCACTGGTCCCAAAGTTTTAATTTTTAATTAGTTACTATTTAGTTCTAGTACCTGATAAAGTATATAAATCAGTTAATAACAAAAATATTAAGGCATATAAAAATATGTGTCTAAGTTCTCTTTACAGCATTCTGACAAAATTCTAACAAATACCTTACCATTTGACCAATCAGAGTGTTAGTTTTTTGTCCATTTCTCCTAGAAGATGAATCCATATCAACAAGAGACCAAAAACTGCACTGGACTGGAAAAGTCATTTGTTGATCGATAACATCTCCAAACTTCTTTCCAGGGATGTACACTGTAAGACTTCTACTTTCCAGAACTAAATCAAAAGACATTACTCACTTGTTATTTAATTTTATTTTGTTCTATATATTTACAAATTAATAACAAATATTAGATATAATTTTTGGACAGTGGAGACAAAAGTAAATTTTACTGTTTTGCAAGATATAGCTAAAACAGTATATCTGATACTTTCCCCCCACCCTCCACACACAAGGCAAGAAGAATATTTGGATGTCTGGATGTCTATATGTCTCATGATTTGATGAGAACCAGCAGGCCAAAGCATGCAGCTGGAATTATGGTCTAGTGTCTGAGTGAAAAAAGGATCACCGGTTCTTTGACATAGTGCTAGAAATCCTAGACAATGCAATAAGACAAGAAAAGGATATAAATTTGGTCCAATTCAAACCCATGTGTTAGCACAGCTGAGAGCTAAGTTCCTTTGTTTTTATTTATAAAAGTGAAATGAGAACAGATATGTAGTATAATTTCTCAATTCCTAACATATGCAATACTATCGTAACTGTTAAATAGCTACTTGACACTGGTGAAAATATAGATCAAACAGATAAAAATTAATATTATTTACCAGATTGAAGCTGTTCAAGTTTATCTTTTTTGTGTGAGGTCAAATCTCCTATAAAGCAGATACCACCTTTAGCTAGCAAAGCACTGCCAGCTTGAATGCTAACTGCTCCAGTTCCATACTTATTCCTGGACAGAGTAGGAAAAATTTCAGTACAGACTGGATGATGTATACCACGGGGAACAAGGTTTATGCTAAAATTCAAAAGCCTAGGGAAAAAATAAATTATTTATTGCCATTATTTAATATTTTATCTCAGAATTCCTAATGTGTTAACAGCTAGAAAATTTATTTCAGTACTTATTAAGCATTTACCATATGCCAGCTATGCACTAGGAATAAAAACATATGTTAAGACCTTACCTTAACTTGGTAAGCTCACAGCCTAGAAAGAGAGATATAAAAAACTAAACTCCAATGCGACAGGTACTAAATAATATAAATAATATCTTGAAAACCTCTGTAAGGGAGTATTATTTCTTCTGAAAGAAATTCAGAACAAACTACAGAGAGATGGTGTTTGAACTGGGCCTTCCTCTTTTTTTATGCATTTCTTGCTTTCTTTATTGATAGTCTTATTTGGTTGCAGCAACTCAGTATCATTGAATGAAAAAAAATTTTAAGGGATATTTTTGCTATAGGGCTCGTGTGCTCTCCAGAGAGACAGAGAAAGACAAAGAGATGCATAGCATGAAATCACCCCCCTAGGAGGATGGCTATGCTGCATTACCTTCTCCTCTAGTCTACTCTCGAGATTTCAGGCATGCACATATGCCCAGAGAAAGTTTTAAGCTGCTGGGTCTGGGACTCAAAACCAGGGTCAACTATGTGGGAGTCCAGTGACATAACCATTACACCATCTGCTTGGTCCCTTGAATGGAACCTTGAAGAAAGATAAGAAAATGGCTTATTAGTTCTTAGGAGGAAGATTGTTTAAAAATGATAAAGTATAAAAGCATGATGCAGAGCTGGGGAATGAGAGAAAAGAAAGGCTGGGATGGATGCATTTATTTGTAAAGATCTGAGTGCAGAAATAGGTTGAAACTTTAAGTGTTTATGTTCTCAAAATATTGAAAACAAATATGCCATTGTTCAATTCATGTTTTATTGGGTTGTCGGAAAAATCATGATGCATTTACAACATGACTTTTTCCAACAACCCAACAGAAGTTTTGAATTTCATTGATAGAAATTATTTAAATACTTAATATTAGTTCAAATAATTTTAATATTCATCTTCTACTAATGCTCACAGGAAGGATTTATGCAAATCTGTGGCCAACTTATAATTTTAAAAATTTATGTCACATATTTACCTGTCCACAAGTAGAGTGTCACTTGTTATAATTAAAATATCCAGGAAACCTTCTAATTTCTTGTTATGGTCACTTGTCTGTACTAGACTCATCAACAAACAGAGCTTGAGCAAATTGTAAGTCCCAGGAGGAATAATTTGTGATGCAAATATATTGGCAAGTATTGCTGTAAACTTCCAGCATGAGCTGGAAGTTAAGGAGAGGAGACACCTGAAGTTGTCACTAATTCCTGAAGAGACTGAAAGTAAATATTAATGTATGTATTACAGAGGGTTTTTAAACAATATATTATAAATATTTGACTTTATCTAAAATATTATCAAACTATACTTATTAATCATGCAATATTTAAATTCTTATGACAATAAATTATGACCGGAAGTTATGCTGGTCTATCATCACTATCATAGGGAATGTAATAAAAGAAGCCAGATATCCTGTGTGTCTACATAAGATTGGTTGCATATTTAGGCAAATTCCTCATTCTTCTGGAAAAGCCAAATACTAGAGCTCTATATTTCTGTTTACTCCTATATTTCTGTTTGTAATAATGTCACTTTCAGTGGAGGCTAAATAGGCAGAATTCAAAATATTTGACTATTATGATTATAAGGAAAGATTTCTATAGACTACTACTTTGAAAGCACTGTTTTATACTATACTATCACGTTATAGAACATCTTCATCCCCTCTTACCCCAGTCTCCAGTTCCTGAAAGGGAAAAATGATGTGCCTATTTGGTCAGTTTAGGAGCAACAGCTATGTACCCTGTCCCACTCTCCTTCCTTTTGGGCTGTCATCACAGAACAGTGATTTCTTCTACTTATCTACTCTAGTTTGTTCTGTTTCTAATAACAGAGATACCCAAGTCTGAGTGATTTAATTCAATTCTTTAGCTCATTGTTTTGGAGGTCCAAAGTCATGGGGCTACATTTAGTGAGGGTCCACTTGCTAGAGGATAATGTGGTGTGGGTGTGGGGGGTGGTAAGATGAGCAAGTGTTGTACCATTGTTTGTCTTATTCCCTCTCCTTATAAACCCACTAGGACTCGATTATGGGGATCCCAACCCTAATGCCTATTACTTTCCAGAGGATCCAGTTTTTAATACATAATCAGGGCCAGGAGATGGTGAGGTGGTTAAGGTGCTGGACTTCCACATGGCCAACTGCAGTTTGAGACCCAGACCTGGTGGCTTGCTTTCTCATCCCCTCCACCCACCCTCTGGTGAGTGCATGTGACCTTTAACAAATTAAAAACAGTAATAATGATAAATAAAATTAAATAAATAATTATTTAATATCATAATCAGATAGTTTCCACCCTCTCAATGCTATTAAAGTGGCTGACCAGATTTTTTTGTTTTTGAGAGTTTTTTTGCTATAGGGCAGGTGCACTTGCCAGAAAGACAGAGACAGAGAGACAGAAAGTGAGAAATCACCCCCCAGGGGGGATGGCCATGCTGCAATTCCTTCTCTTCCATTCTCTTCTTGGGATCTTGGGCATGCACGCACATATGCCTGGTGTGAGTTTAAGCCACTGGGTCTGGGACTCGAACTGTGGTCAACTGCATGGGAGTCCAGCAACATAGCCATTATGCCAACTGCTGCTGGTCCCAGGCTGACCAATTTTAACACATGAATTTTGGGAGAACACGTCCAAACCTTACCATCATCCATACTATGGATTAGAGAAGCCTTAGTCCAGCTCTTGTCACATTTAGCAGTTAAATATGCCTAAATATTATTATTTTTTTCCCCATTTTTAGACTTCAGGAATTAAGCAGGGGAGGAGTGACAAGTACTAAGCCAAGTCTAAGATTTCTTGACTCTTGGGGGTAGACTCGACTACAGTAAACACAAAGGGAGACATAAGATGTAATACTTTATTTCATCTTTAAAAATATGCACTTCTCAGGAACCAGCAGTTAGCATAATGGCTATATCGCTGGACTCCCACGTAGTCAACCGCGGTTCGTGTCCCAGACCCGGTGGCTTAAAACTCACGCCGGGCGTGTGTGCGTGCGTGCCCAAGATCCCAAGAGGAGAATGGAGGAGAAGGGATTGCAGCGTGACCATCCCCCCTGGGGAGTGATTTCTCGCTTTCTGTCTCTATGTCTCTCTCTGTCTGTCTGGCAAGCGCACGTGCCCTACAGTGAAAATCTCTCCAAAAAAAAAAAAAAATGCACTTCTCCACCAACATTCAAGTCATGTCTGCTATAAAATTAATAAATCTTAAAACATTTAATAGCAGAAAATATTAAAAATATCATCAAACTATCTATAATCCACCAGTGATTTCTTTCTTTAACATTTTTGTCTTTTTAAGAAGCTTTTCTCTTTAAGACAAGTAGAGGTATTTAGAAACTACTTGCATTTAAATTCAACTTGGACTTCTATTACTACAGATGGTTTTCTATAAATTCCAAACAAATTCAGCTCTACTCAAAATTTAACCAGCCTTCCTACATTCAGATATCAGTGAGCCAAGTTAACAAAAGCAGTCTTGCTCTCCACTTTTGTTTACTTAAGGCTAAAATCTTTTGGAGTGGTAAAAAGGAAATCGTTAGTAATAAAGGTGATATTCTGGTGCCCACCTGCCTTTAAATGTTGTCTTATTTCTTGACTGGCTTAGAACTCATATGAGGGAAAGCATGCCATTTTATTGAGTTCTCTTTCTCAGACCACAATAATAACTAGAATTGTCTTAGCTACTAGGTCATTGGGAAAGTCATGATGTATTATTCCATTTTTCTGTGCAAAAATGTGTCACGACTTTCCCAATGACCCAGTAGAAAATAAAGGGTAATACAGAAAAATCCTTTGACTTATCTCTAACCCTTGGCATTCTGAAACATATTTCTCATTGCTAATTATAAAAAATCAAAGTAAGGCTTAGCCCAAAGAAAGGAGTCCTGCCATATAGCAAGTTTCCACAACAGTATCCTGTTTTATTTACTTAGAGCACTTATTACCTGAAATTGTCTTATGACTATTTTGCATGTTTATTGACTGTGTAACAATATAAACTAAGAACAAGAACCTTGACTGTTGTGTTTACAACTATATCCTTAGTTCCTAAAATAGTGTCCAGTTTTAGACAAGCAATATTTAATTGCTGAACAAATAGATTTATGTTTAAATATTTAATACATGATATAACATTTCCTTACCTTTTGGATTGCAAAAAGAGATACTATTTGCTTCTATACAGACAGTAGATTGTGAGGTTTTTATACAGGCTGGAATTCCAATAATTTTATATTCATTTCCTATATTCATTTTATTCACTAATTCATCTAAAATTATTAAAAACAGAAAATATGTACTCACTAAATGAAATTTATACATAATCACATGGTTTAACAGTAACAATTCATCCTGAATTAGTAGTCTTTCTAGTAAATTGCATTTATAATAAAAGAAAAGCCTGGGACCAGCAGATGGCCTTAATGGTTGCATTGCTGGACTCCCACGTAGCTGATCGGGAATCGAGTCCCAGACCTGGCAACTTAAGATTCGTATCAGGCATGTGTGTGTGTGCCCAGCATCCTGAATAGAGAATGGAGGAGAAGGGATTGCAGTGTGGCTATCCTCTGGGGGTAGGGGGTGATTTCTCACTTTCTGTCTCTGTTTCTCAGGTGAGCACATGCATCCTATAGCAAATATCTCTTAAAAAAAAAAGGAAAGAAAGAAAGGAAAAGTCCAAGTCTGGGGAGTTTATAAAAATAAAGGTTTATTTAGCTCATACTTTTGGAAACCAAGTCCAAGAGTACGGGTCAGTATCTGGTAATGGTCTTCTTGCTGTTTCTCAGCATGGTGGAGGGCAGGAATTTTTTACATTTTTCACTGTCTCCTTATAAACCCATGAGTATCCCATAATGGGGCTCCACCCTGATGTCTAATCACAACCCAAAGGCTCCATTTCCTAATCCTATAGTTGGATTAAGCTTCACCTTTTCAACACCCATACAATGGTTCGCCAAATTTGAACACACAAAGTTTTGGTGGACACCTTCAACCTACAGCAGTAGTGAAATAATTGTTTTCATTCAGTATAATATCTCTATGTATGATGAAACCAAGAGGTTTTGTGATTTGCATAAGCCTAAGTAATAAGTGGCAGAACTGAAATATAATGTGTCCTAGGTCAAACCAATGTCAAGAGGAAGGCAAGGAAGCTGAACATCCGAATATCTCTTATAAGGTTAGACTCAAAAGCCTGCTTTTATTCATTTAATTAAAAAAAAATTATTTGGGTTCTGTAAGAGTTTATTTCAAGAAAATGTTTTCTTCTTTTTTTTTTTTGGAGAGATTTTCGCTATAGGGCACGTGCGCTCGCCAGACAGAGAGAGACATAGAGACAGGAAGCTAGAAATCACCCCCCAGGGGGGATGGTCACGCCGCAATCCCTTCTCCATTCTCCTCTCGGGATCTTGGGCACGCACGCACACGCTGTGAGTTTTAAGCCACCGGGTCCGGGATGCAAACCGTGGTCGACTACGTGGGAGTCCAGTGACATAGCCATTACGCTAACTGCTGGTTCCCTTTTTTTTTTTTTTTTTTGAGAAGGTTTTGCTATAGGGCGTGTGTGCTCGCCAGAAAGATAGAGACAGAGAGAAAGAAATCACCCCCCAGGGGGGATGGCCATGTCGCAATCCCTTCTCCTCCATTCTCCTCTCGGGATCTTAGGCATACACACACACATGCCTGGGGTGAATTTAAGCTACCGGGTACAGGACTTGATCCATGGTTGACTACATGGGGGTCCAGCAACATGGCCATTACGTCAACTGCTGGTCCCTTAAGAAAATGTTTTTTACTACTATGCAAATTTAGGAGGCCAAGCAGTGGTGGTTGGACCTACACGGGAAAATTCTAGGTCTGAGTCCCAGGACCTCCTTGAGCACACCAGGTACAAGCACATGCCTGTGATCCAGGCTGACTGAGACTGGGGTGGATTGTGGTATAGGAACTCTCTCTCTTTCTGATGGAAGAAATAGTGGATACAAGACCAGCAGTTGGTGTAATGGCTATGTCGCTGGACTCCCATGTAGTTGACCACGGTTTGAGTCCTGGACCCAGCAGCTTAAACTCATGCCAGGCGTGTGTGTGTGCATGCCCAAGATCCCGAGAGGAGAATGGAGAAGGGATTGCAGCGTGGCCATCCCCCCTGGAGGGTGATTTCTCACTTTCTGTCTCTGTCTTTCTGGTGAGTGCACGTGCTCTATGGCAAAAACCTCTCCAAAAAAAAGAGAAAAAAATGTGAAGAAATAGTGGATACATTTGGAAAAATATATATATATATATAAGTTGGACAACTACTTACATTTCTATATTGCAATGTGTGATTTATATGTAGTATATTACTGAAAATAGTATAGAGTAGAATAAAGTGGTTAAAAATACACTGAGGCGGGCCAGCAGGTGGTGTGGAGATTAAAGGAGCTAGATTCCACATGGCTTACTGTGAAGTTTGTGTCCTAGACCTGGAAGCTTGAAAATCATATTGGGTGTATATTGTGCATGCCCAAAATCCTGAAAGGAGAAAGAAGGAGAAGGGACTGTGGTGTGGCCATCCGCCATGGGCAGTAATTTCTCATCCACCCCCCTTTGGTGAGGGCATGCACCCTAGAGCAAAACAAAACAAATAAACATCAAGGCTTATTGCCTGAATGAATCCTGGCTATGCCACTTACTAGCTTTGAACCTTGGTGAAGTTACTTAACTTCCATGTGCCTCAGTTTCCACATTACAAAATGAAGATAACTAGAAGCTACCTTATATGGTTTCTATGAGTAACTGGGTTAATTTACATAAGAATTCCTGGAACATAGTAATTGTTATATAAAAATTACTACCATCTGGGCCTGCTTGCCTGCTTTACACATGTCTAACCATGAGGAAGTGCTTTTGTTTGAATCTCCACTTTCCTAATTACTAGGTTTCCTTTATGTGGTTGACATCTAAGAACTCTTTGTGAACAGTTTTAATTCTTTCAATTTTAGTCAAAAGAAAAGGAAAGGTTAAGACCTGTCCTCTTTTTCACAGTTCTGACTTCTCAATGAAGACTCAGCTGATACTGATAATGATTTCCTTCTTCATGGCGGACTGTCTACTCACAGGTACTTACCCATGCAGTCCTCAACAGTTAATCATATGCCAATTCCCATTTATTTAATTAATCAACATTCATTGAGCTTTTACTTGTGCAGTAAAAAACCATAGTCCCTATTCTCATAAAGCTTATATTCTAAAACAACCCCCATATTTACAGAAGCTACACAGACCTATCAAAAGAATAATGAGATTATCTTAAAATGACTATAACCCTGGGACTTAGCATAAGGCTTGGGACATAGCAGGCATTAATATCCTTTTAAGTGAATATCATATGTCTGAATTGATATAATAGTTAAATATGACTATTTTTCAAAACACCCCAAAACAAGAGATTTTAGAATTTTTAAGTTATAGGAGTATTGTTCATAATATGTAAATATAAATCAATCCCATATTTTATAGCAATTTGTTTTGAGCTCACACAGAATTTACTTACCCCGTAGGAAAACTGTTAGAGATTGAAACCTAAATGGCTGGGTTTTAGAATATCCTTGAAAAGCATTAAGTGCCTTCGTGGTAATTATTTCAACTATCTGTTTATCTTAAGGCAAAGAGAAAAATAGAATTAGTTACTAGATTATATATTCAATTTAATTTCCATATTAAAATATCAGGCACTATTTTAAAAATTGTAGTTACACAATTCAAATGAATTGTTACCACCAAGAACTCTGAATTTTCTGTCCTCTTGAAGCGAAGATGCACATAGATTACACAAAAAGTCATTTCTCACTGTTGCGGATTCTGTAGCACCAGGCACATGCACTCTAATATACTGAAACCCTGAAAGACAACATTTAACATTAGTCTAATTTAAAGTATGATTAATTCAATTTTTGCATGGGGGTTCAGAGCAGTTCAATTAACATTCATTGCAGGGCTGTTGCTTGCCAGGTGTTGTGATAAGGCACTGGCAGTATGGATACTTAAACACACATATAGAAATATGTGGCAATGAGAAGCAGACAGTTTTAATATGTGGCATTCACTTGCAGAGGGCTCGGAGAGAAGAGAGGAGAGGCATCCAGCACAATGAGAGGAGGGGGTAAATGGAAAAGATGTCTTGGAGAAGCACTGAGTTAAGTCAAAGAATTAAGAGAGGACATCAAATAGAGGAGAACAGCCCAAGTAAACAGTTATGAAACAGTGCACAACAAGTACTTCAGTATCATAAAAGCACTTGTTAAATTGAGGAGGAAAAAGAGAAAGATGCATTTTAAGATTATGTAATGTAGCACTAGTCACCATAGCCAAGATATTAAATCAACCTGAGACTCCATCAACAGATGAATAAATAAAATGTCACGTACACACATACATGCACACACACACACACACACACACACACACACTGGAACACTATTCGGCCATTAACAAGAATGAAATCTTGTCATTCAAGGCAACAGGGACAAGCCTGAAGAATATTATGTTACATGAACTAAGCCAGGTATAGAAAGAGAAACTGCATGCTCTTACTCATGTGACTAAAAAAGTTAACCTTGTGGGAATAGAGAGTGGAACAGTAGCCAATAGAGGCTAGGAAGAGTGGAGGGGAAGGTGAAGGACAGGGGAGATATTGTTTAACAGCTATGAAATTGCAGTCAGAGAAGAGGAATAAGTTCTAATGTTCTATAGCAAAATAGAATAACTATGGTTAATGATAATTTATTGTATGTTACAAAATAGCTATAGAAGAGGATTTTGAATGCTCCCAACATGAAGTAATAACAAATGTTTGAGGTAATGGACATGCTAATTACCCTGATTTGATCATTACACATTGTATTCATGTAGCAAAAACTCACCCTATACCCATAAATACATACAATTACTCTATATCAGTTTTAAATAATAGATCTAGCCCTGATGGTGCAAGCAGGAGAGCACTGCTGCATTCTGTGTGATGACTTTGGCTGCATGGGAGGCAGGCGACTGGGTTTCCGACCCACCTCAACAGGCCAGGCGTGCCTGTGGTCCTCGTCAACTGTGAGCTTGGACAGGAGGAGTGTGACGTGTGACCCTGTCAAAAATACCTATTTCTCCCTTTTTCTCTCATTTCTCTCTGCCATAAATAAGTAGTGAAAATCTTATACAAGGTAAACATATAAACATTAGGAAATACCAAATTTTATTCCATTCTTTCTACTCTGTGCATATTTTATAACTAACTATAAACACAATACAAACAATAAACTACTTGATGTTTCAACTTTACATTTTAATATTTACCTTTTGAAAAAGGGCATGCTTCGTCTGAACAAAGGAATCTTGCACCTTGTGTATACTTGGTTATTGTTGTCATTGCAATCACAATCCCATGCATCATATAAAATCTTTGAGAGGTATAATCAAGTGGAAACTCACAAAGATCAAGGCCATAACTTGGCAGAGGAGGCACATGTGTTAATTTCAGCACTATGTTAATCTGATAAAATAAAAATAGTATTAATAAAATTGTAAATCCAGTTTGGACTAGTATTACAATATACTAAGTGTATTGTATAGTTAATCAAGTAACTAATTTATTAGAGTTGTAGGAACTATGACTTTAAGCATAAGAGAATAGAGATAAAAGATTAAAGAAATAAAACCCTTATACAGTAATCTAAGAATTTAATTGAAAATGCCTTTATGAACTCATATTTTTTCTTAAAAAATACACATTTCCTAGCTATATCCACTGAAAAGGCTTGAAAAACAGTGAAGACCCTATAGCAACAAACATTCCTAGCATCCAGATTGTGGTCTCTAAATAGAATTTCTTTCTAGCCTCTATTAACCACAATTATACTCTCCTTGGGGGGAAACGATTGACTTCAGGTCTGAGGCAGAAAATTTAACAGATGGACCTGGGCGTCTTATACCAAAAACTAAGGCAGCTATAAAAAAAATTAATAGCATGTGTCAAAAGGACATAGGAATAAACTTTAAAGGATTCCCAATGACCAAAAGTGAATACAAGCAACAAAACCAATAACAGTGATTCACTGAAACATATAAAATATATTAAAATGTTCATGAATTCCTCTTATTTCCACCCCTGTGTGGTACGTCCCACCTTGTGCCACAGTGGGGTCTAGTGCAGATGCCTTAGTACTAAGAACATGGATGCAGTAGGAAAGAGACCCCCCGCATCATTGTCATCAATATACTTTCATGGGGAAATTTGTTGCTAAATCATCTGGAGACATTTGCTTCTGGGTTGGGGTTCACTACTCAGTAGAGCAGCTACCTCTCTGCAGTCTACTAAGAGTCACCCCTCCACAAATGGTTAAAAATACTGTTTCTAAAAATACAAGTAATGGCATAAAGGTTAAGCTACTCCCACATGGCTGACCATGGTTTGAGTCCTGGAGCTAGAGGCTTGAAAAATCACACAAGGCTCAAGTGCGTACATGCCCAAAATCCCAGGAGGAAAATAGAGGAGAAAGGATTGAAGCATGGCCATCCCACTGGGGGCTAATTTTTCACGTTCCCTCTTTCTGACTGTCTCTGAAGAACACATGTCCTGTGGCAAAAATCTAAAAACAAACCAAGAAAAAAAGTAAAATTTAAAAATTGTAATAAAGGATAAACAACAAAATAACATTGGTCATTATTGAAGGCTGCTAAATTTCAACTTATTGTTTTCTGAAAGTTCATAAAGGGAAAGAATAAAACATTTACCCTGCTTTTCCTATGCAAATTATATTTGAAAGTAACCAAAGAGTAAGAGAAAGTGATAAACGAAATGATAAGAGAAAATGTATCTTACAGAATAATTTCAAGCAATAAATTCAGAAAGAGTGCTAAGATTACAAAAGTAATAATTTTGAAATTGTTCTTTTTGCAATTATTCCTAATGAAATAATAGATTCTAGGCAATGAAGATCAATTGCTGCTAAACCATTACTTGAAAGTTGATGGAAACAGTATAATGGAGGAATCAGATTGACATCACTTGAACCCACCGATCAATTGTGACATTGCTAAATGTGAGTCAACCAATATTAGAATCCTAATATAATGTAATATAAAATACATGACACTATGATATATTCCTATCAGAATTAGTTGAATCTCAACATAAGATTCTGTTAGATCAACTTTTATATGTTTTAGAAATCTGGAGTATAGTGAAATAAGTTAAATGCCATAAGAAAGCAATCAGATAAATCTAATTATGTAGGATTTTTTTTGTATATATGATCAGTTATTTAATTAGGCCCTTGGCAAAAAATTTAGAACACCAATTTGTGAGGATAAACTCCATTTGTAAGGACAAACACAGATTGCAGGTAACCCTGGAGCTGAGAAATAGCTTTGATTTTGGGTAAGATTTCTGAGTCCACAGCTTTCTGATCAATCTTGCGCTGCTCTGAAATCTCATATTTCTCCTCTGTGTTGATGATCTCACCTTCCTGGTATCTGGGCTTCCGCAGTTTCTTTTTCTTGAAGTAAGCATCGGTAAGGTGCTGTGGGATTTTTACTAATATCAATTTTCGTGGAGGTGGCAATGACAAATTGCTGGTGTGTTCTACACAGTGGAACTCAATTGGGAACTAGTGGTCCAGTTACAAGTAGCAAGCCACTGCTCAGCTGCTTCAGGAAAACCACTCTTGCCTCTGTGGCTTCCAGTGAGGATGATCAGGATGTTCCCAGGAGTGATGCTAGCTGGCAGCTTTCTCACATGCTGACTAAAGGGTTTTTTTGCTGTGCCTCAACAACTTTCAAGGCACATCTTCAGTAGGATAATACCTAGGCATTTTGCATAATTTAATCATCTGAGTACCACCATTCTTGTCTCCACCAACTGGTTTTGTGACAGTCGCAAGAACCTTCTCCTTTTTCTTTTCGATCCTGGATTATTGGCCTCTTGTACATGGCCTTCCTGGAATATATGGCAGACAGGGAGTATCTGCTGATGCCCCAGACTAGGACAGGGTTTCAGCTGCAATGGGGCTTCCCCTTCTTGGGCTTTTTAGCCTTGGAGTCACCCTTTTTAACCTTGCCACTGGCATCAGCTTTCTTGGCTTCAGGTTTCTTCTCCTTAGTATCCTGCTTTGCAGCTTTTTCACCTGCCATCTTG